TAGTCCCAGCTACTTGGGAGGCTGAGGCAAGAGAATCGCTTAAGCCCAAGAGTTTGAGGTTGCTGTGAGCTGTGACGCCATGGCACTCTACTGAGCACCACAAAGTGAGACTGTCTCAAAAAAAAATAAAATCTGGTCTCTTAACTCTTACAAAGTTAAGATGAACCTTCTAGACCCAGGAGTCATATTTCCTTACACCCACATGTAAAGCGTCCATCCCTATTTCTTCCTCAAAAGCTATCAGGCTATAGAAGACAGAAGATTTCCTTCTGCAGAAGATAGATCTCCTGTCCTGCATGAAACAGCTTATTTAGAAGTTCAGAATTGGCAAGAGGCAGCTCCTTTTTCTTTCATGCCTAGTCCAAGCCCTACACAGATGAATTTTAGGATATGTTTTAAATAGAAATCATTATTGAATTTCTCAGGTGAAACTGGTTTTTTCTCAATGAAAAGATTTTTTTCCTCCCAGGTGCGCCTATATTGTTTCTCAAAACTCAGAGAATAGTAGAAGAGGTGGTGAGATACAAAGTTTTTATTGAAAGTGGTCTAAGTATATAAACTTGGCTAAAGGTTAATTATCACTTTTTAAAATTGATGATGAGTCAAATGCAAAAACATATAATGCATTTATAATTAAACAAGTCCTTGCCCACAAAGGCAGAATTATTGAAAAAATGTTTATTTTCCCTCTTAAAATGGCTAATCCAGGCAATAATACAGCTACAGGTGGTAAATTCACATTGCTTTCTTCATTGCTTCTCTCTCTCAAACCCATGAATCTTTCAGAACCACATTACTGAGGTGCTGCTCTGTGCCTGGAAACAGAATGATATCCAGGTCTTACAGGTCCAAGGCACAGTGGGCAAACAGGCTCTTGTCCTACACACTGGCCACCATGTCTTCAATGGCGCTCCAGTCAAGCTTGCTGAGGATGCTGCTGGTGCTCTCAGAAATGCTATCCACGGTAGCCGCCTGAAAAGGAGGCATTGGCTGCTCTTCAGTTGGTGACAAGTCCTAATGAATTGAAAAAATAGTCAGTGGTGATCCTAGCCCCTAAGAAGAAACAAGTGGAACATGAACTAAGCTTTCCAAAGATTCCAGAGTTGCCCATACATCAAAGAGTTGAAGGATATGAGAAAGGAGCTGGGCTGTGCTGCCTGGCACATTCAACTGACAATGAGCTGAACATCATCAGAAACAACTAGATGCTGGCACCAGATCTAATGAGTGGATAGAATGGATTTTGATATTTGCAGTACAATTAACTGTTTTTATTGCTTTTTTAGTTAAAAAGAAACTACAAAGTCAAAGAGAATTTTGAAGGATAAATGCTAGATAACTAAGCCAAAATGGTAGATGTTTTGAATCACATTTCAAATAATCTTTCAGTATTTCTACATACCCAACAAATAAACAAAAAACACTAAACACACAGAGCAATCACTAGACAAACTAAAATCTGGAACAACACTTACCTGTAGAAGGGAACTGTGACTTTCATGAAGGATCTTACGGATTTCTGAGGGTAATGTCCAGGGACTCACTACAGTCTCCTCTCTCTCATACTCTATACACACCTGCTTGGTTTGGGGTGCAAGCCCAGCACTCCCACGTTTTCTTGTACACTGCTGACTATGACATGGAGCATTAGCACCTTTTAAAGGATAAGAACAGAGTACATTGGGATTGACTCATTCATTCATTTGCTAATCTTTTGTGACTTTTGTCATCAAAACCAAGGTAATCACATTTTACCTAATATTTAAATCTCAAGGTCTGGATACCATTCACTTTAGAGTTCTACCAATTCCTGTCAGTGTGTGAGGTGGTCATTGAATGTAACCTTGTTTGGATTTGAAAAGTAATGGTAATTGATTTCTAGGACAAGAGAACCTAGGGAGGAGGCCACAGATATAACATAAATGTGGCAGTCTTGACTTCAAAGTTGGGTGAACTCAGAAAGCTAGGCTTTTCTTGCCTTTTATGGAAAATCTTGTGGAAGTTTCTTAGGAGCAACGCTTTAGGCATCTTCACCTATGCTTTGTGCCTACAATCTGTGTTTGGGCTCAGGCATCAGGTGACAACATATTATGTTGACAACATATTATGCCCCCCTTTCTCCTTAATGCATATATCACTATTTGTTGAAAAGAAACTTTCATCCTAGCTAGTGTCCACAGGCAATTTAGCAAACCCATACCTAACACACTTAATGTTCCAAAGCCAATTACATATAGCATGGTCTACCCTTCACAAAGTGACCTCCTAAGACATGGTATAAGATGGTAAATAAACACATGTCCCTAGTAAGCAGTCCATGTGGCCCATGAGGAAGAGGAAAGAGGTAAGCATGCTGAGACCTGGGCCCCCTTGCCTGCTATGGCTCTGTCAACCTAGGTACTGAAAGATGAGGACATCTCTACAAAGTAAGCACCCAACATAGCAACAGTGCACTGACACTTAGTAAACACTAGGTGTTTGACCTATGTTTGGCCCCTTGAACTTAACCAGGGCACCCCAGGCCTGGGCTTTGGGTTCTCTAACACATCCTTCTCTCTCTCTATTTTATTTAATTTTATTTTTTGAGACAAAGTCTTAAGTTGTCGCCCTGGGTAGAGTGCTATGGCATCACAGCTCGCAGCAACCTCCAACTCATGGGCTCACACAATTCTCCTGCCTCTGCCTCCAAGTAGTTGGGACTACAGGTGTCCACCACAATGCCCGGCTATTTTTTGGTTGCAGCCGTCATTGTTGTTTGGCAGGCCCAGGCTAGATTCAAACCTGCCAGCTCCGGTATATGTGGCTGGCGCCTTAGCCACTTGAGCCACAGGCGCCAAGCTGCCCCCCTCCTCTTTTTTTCTCCCTCCCCCTCTCTTTTTGAGACAGAGTCCCACTCTATTACCCAGGCTAGAGTGCCATGTCATCAGTCTAGTTCACAGCAATCCTCCTGTCTTACCTCCCGAGCAGCTAGGACTATAGGTCCCTGCCACAATGCCAGGCTATTTTTTTTAATTTCCTTGCTTATTTTTTATTTATTTTTTTATTTCCTTGCCTTTTTGTTGTTGTTGTTGCTGTTGAGATAGAGTCCCATATACCCCGAGCAGAGTGCAATGGCATCATAGCTCACTGCAACCTGAGACTCAGGCTGTGGGCATACCCCTGCCTCAGTCTCTGAAGCTGCTGGGGTTACGGGCACTTGCTGCAGCACTTGCCTGGGTTTTTCATTTTTTTAATGAGTCAGGGTCTCATTCTTACTCAGGTAAGTCTCTAATTCTTGAGCTCAAGCAATTGTCCCTCCTCAGCCTCCCACAGTGCTGGGATTATAGGCATAAGCCACTACGCCTAGCTAATTTTTCTATTTTTAGTAGAGTTGCTTACGCTGGTCTCAAACTCCTGAGTTCAAGGGATCCTCCTGCCTCAGCCTCCCAGAGTGCTAGGATTATAGCTGTGAGCCACTGTGCCTGGCCCTCTAACACATCTCAACTCTTCCTAGCTTACCTTATTTAGATTTATGGCCACTTTTCCACATTTATGGCCACTATTCTATCATTGCAAGTTTGTTTGTATATCAAGACTCTAAACTTAGTGTTCTTTCTACCTGGAACTGTTGTCGTACTTTCATATGACAATCTCCTTTCAACATTCAAGATCTTCACTCCAACATCACTGTCTCAAAGAAAACTTTAGGGCTGGTGCCTGTGGCTCAGTGAGTAGGGCACCAGCCCCATATACCAAGGGTGGTGGGTTCAAACCCAGGCCCAGCCAAACTGCAACAAGAAAATAGCTGGGCATCATGGCGGGCGCCTGTAGTCCTAGCTACTCGGGAGGCTGAGGCAAGAGAATCACCTAAGCCCAGGAGTTGGAGGTTGCTGTGAGCTGTGATGCCACAGCACTCTACCAAGGGTGACAAAGTAAGAAAACTTTAACCACTTCTAGCTAAAGTAGCTCCACCTAACCAACCACATGCTCCCTTTTTTATGTGCTGCTGTTTGTGTTGTTCATGCCTGGTACATAGTAGGAGCTCAATGGATGGTTGCTGAATGAATACTTTGTGACAGTCAGATGGGGAAAGTGTTATGATATTATCCCATTTTATAAATGAGGGAAGTGAGGCTTAGAGTAGCTATGTAGTTTGCCCAAATGATGTAGATATCAACCCTAAAACCTGAGCTAATGCATTAACTTTCCACTCTTTAGAGTGAAGAGAGAATAGTACTCAGAATGCTCTTAAGATAATCTTCATATCTGTAAGTAAAAAGATGAAAGGATCTATTTACTTGGGTCCTTAAGGCAGCAGCTTTCTAAAAGCTTCTTCCGGCTCGGCGCCTGTGGCTCAGGAGGCTAAGGCGCCAGCCACATACACCTGAGGTGGCGGGTTCGGATCCCCAGCCCGGGCCCGCCAAACAACAATGATGGCTGCAACCAAAAAATGGCCAGGCGCTGTGGCGGGCGCCTGTGGTCCCAGCTACTTGGGAAGCTGAGGCAGGAGACTCGCTTGAGCCCAGGAGTTGGAGGTTGCTGTGAGCATGATGCCATAGCACTCTGCCCACGGGGATAGCTTGAGGCTCCGTCTCAAAAAAAAAAAAGCTTTTTCCTGGATTAGTGCCAAAGGGAGGGGTGGACATAGCAGTACAAGAGGGCTTAGGGTTTTTCTTTTGACTAGCCCAAGAGCCTGAAAGAGAACACAGTGACCATCATTTGGTAGTACTTGCCACCTTGACATCCAACTGAGAGGTCTGCTCTAGTTGAAAAAGTTATGATGTTTTTTCTGCCAGTTAAAGACATCACATAGTAACTTGAGATGCCAAGGAAGGTTCCATGATAAAATAGTTATTTCAGTAAATATTAATAAGGGGAATTTTAAGAAGTGCTTTGAAAAAAATCTAGGAGCAGAACAGGAAGGAATGCATATGTGAACAAACTCTGATATAACAAGAGATTAGCAAAGGCTACACACAACTAATCCTACTTCATCTCTACTACAATTAATTTGGTATCTAGGCTTTAATGCTTTTGTTTTGTCAAATGAACATAATTATTGCCATCTAGAAAGAATGACAAAATCAAACCCCCACCAATTCTGCTGAAATTTAGGTTAATAGTCCTGCATTTTAAGATAAACTTTCCCCTGTGGGGTATTTACAAATCATGAGAATCTATCACTGGCTTTCTCTCACCTTGCTTTACCCAGGGATGGGTCTGTAATTTCCTTCTTTTCAGATCATGATGCATTTCTCTAGGATTTATCCAGGATATACAATCTTGAGATAAAAGTACAGTATGAGAAAAATTCCATGAAACTGAGCAAGCTAGGGTATTCTTGGCCTACTGTGGGTAGAAAACCTTTCTAGGGTGAAAGGTAAGTGATATATCAAGAAGAAACACTGCAGCAGAAATTGAGCTGGCAATACACAGTTTCCTTCAGACAGGAAGTTTTCTTTCTCTGTAGCATGCAGGATAGTCACTTAGTTTCTTCACACATGTTGCCAGACAATCAAGCCTGAGAAATCTGAAACTCAATAAAACTAAACCCATCACCTCCATCACTCTCAAAAGGAACCCTGATGCTCATGTCAATTTGTAGGCTACAACCTAGCTACCATTCAGGCTAGAAACCTGGAGTCATACACCACTTCTGGGACAATAACCAAAGGCCGTCTATGGGCAAAGCCTCATGCTAAATCATGATGCACTTAAAAAAAAAACAAAAAAACCCCCAAAACCAAAACTTTAATTTTTAGAGCTTTCAAAAACAATAATGTATAAATTTACATATAATTTCAAATGTTTTGGGAGGCAACATTGTATTTTGGGGCATTTCGTCTCATTGAATCAGACACTGCTAGATATTTACTTAGAAAAGAAATAAAAAGCTACTGAGTACTCTAACTAGAAACTATTTTTTACAGAAGATTAAAGTAAGATACTTTGAAAGAAAGAAAAACAAATAAGCCTCATATTATAAAATTAAAAGCATAGGGAATAATGCTTGTAGGAGGCAAATTGATCCTAGTTACCAGAAGCTTGGGTTTTAATGCATACATAGAGGAAAGAATTAAAAAAGAATCAAATAGACCTTCTAGAAAAGAAATCCATTGGCATTAAAATCTTAATAGATGAGTTAAAAAGCAGATTAGACATAGCTGAAGAGAGATGTAAACTGATGGACCTTCAAAGAAAGGAGGTAACAGTGGAAATAGGAATAGCAGGACTAATTACATTTTTCATCATTCTAATAGTACATATAAATCAGTGTTTAGTCTTTACTATCATCCCTACCAAGTTTAGTTCTTTTCTTTAAATGGAGATAACTCCACAGACTTCATTCGATTTATGTGGGGATTAAGTGAGATAATGCACACAAGGTCTTAACACAATGCTTGGCATAAAGTATTCTATACCTGTTAGCTACTATATAGCCTCAGTTTCCTTAGCTATAATGTGAGGACAACAGTTGTCCTTCCTATCTACTAAGGTAGTTATATACATCCTCACTATTATAATCTGTTTCACAGGTAAAAAAATTGAGACTTACATAAATGGGTTAGAAATTTGCTCAAGCTTACAGAGTAAGTGGTGAACTAAAATTCCAGAAAGTAGTTCCAAAGTCTTGTCTCTGAACCACTGCAGTACACAGCCACACCTTTCATTCTGAAATCTACATTTGAGGCCAGGCCCAGTGTCTCACCCCTGTAATCCTAGCACTCTGGGAGGCTCAGGAAGGTGGATTGCTTGAGATCACAAGTTCAAGACTAGCCTGAGCAAGAGCAAGACTCATCTCTACTAAAAATAGAAAAATTAGCCAGGCATTATGGGTGGTATCTGTAGTCCCAGCTACTCAGGAGAATGAGTAGGATCACTTGAGCCCAGGAGTGTAAGGTTGCTGTGAGCTATGACACCATAGCACTCTAGCCTGGGGCAACAGAGAAAGACAGACAGCGCCTATGGCTCAGTGGGTAGGGTGTTGGCCCGATATACCAAGAGTGGCAGGTTTGAACCCAGCCCCAGGCAAACTGCAACAACAACAAAATAATAGCTGGGCATTGTGGCTTGCACCTGTAGTCCCAGCTACTAGGGAGGCTAAGGCAAGAGACTTGCCTAAGCCCAGGACTTGGAGGTTGCTGCGAGCTGTGATGCCATAGCACTCTACCAAGGGTGATAAAGTGAGACTCTGTCTCTATTAAAAAAAAAAAAAAAACACAACTATATTTGAAAATCTAAGAGTGATTTCTTATTTTTTAAAATGTAGTATTAAATCTAAAAACTTCCTATTCTTTATTTATCCCTTACCATTTTGGAAAGTAACTGGAGACTGCATAGCCTTTCTTACTGCTGCTTTGGCTCCACCAGCTTTTTTCTGTATGGTGAAAGTGGCAGTTCCTGTATAAACACACAATTTTTTTAACTTACTGTATGTATCTATGATTTCTCATGATCATATAATAAAATGAGGATGGAAACCTTCTCCTGACCAGCCCTGACTCAGCTCACCAAACTTTACTCACAGCAGGCACCTAATATATGGTGGTTTATTTGAACAAAAAAAATAAGTGTAGAGGAAGGGAAAACTCTGCTTCAAGATTTGGTATACTTAGAGCACAGCCATGGTATTCCTTCAAATGGCAAATCTTCAAAGGCCAGAGAATTTGACAAAATTTCTGGCAACTGGAAAAGCCAGGGACATAATAAGCCTACTAGCAGTAAACACCTAGACAAAATACCAACAAAGTTCAGTTGTATCAAGAGAATGATTGAGAAAGGTTTCTTAGTACTGAGTACATGTGATGCTAAGAAACCTGAAGGGCATGTCTACCACTTGGACTTTACCTTACAAATGCAAACCATGCAATACAATCATCAGTGCCCTGGCGACACAGATCACAGCAACCTCAAACTCTTGGTCTCAAGCGATTCTCTTGCCTCAGTCTTCTAAGCAGCTGGGACTACAGGCGCCTGCCACAACACCCAGCTAGTTTTTCTGTTTTTAGTAGAGATGGGTCTTACACTTGCTCAAGCTAGTTTCAAACCTGTGAGCTCAGGCAATCCACCTGCCTTGGCCTCCCAGAGTGCTAGGATTACATGTGTGAGCCACCACGCCCAACCCAAAATGTTTATTTATAATTCTAAACAGCTCTATGAGATAGGCTTTTTTATTTTATTATTATTATTTTTTGAGACAGAGTCTCATTCTGTCACCCTCAGTAGAGTGCCAGGGCGTCACAGCTCACAGCAACCTAAAACTCTTGGGTTTAAGTGATTCTCTTGCCTCAGCCCCCCAAGTAGCTGGAACTACAGGTGCCCACCACAAGGCCCAGCTAATTTTTTGTTGTAGTTGTCATTGTTTAGCTGGTCCAGGCCGGGTTTGCATCTGCCAGCCTCGGTACATGTGGCTGGCACTGTAACCTCTGTGCTATGGGTGCCGAGCCTATGAGGTAGGCTTTAAATAACATTTTTTTTTTTTTTTGAGACAGAGTTTCACTACATCACCCTCAGTGGAGTGACATGACCTCACAGCTCACAAACTCTTGGGCTTAAGCAATTCTCTTGCCTTAGCCTCCTGAGTAGCTGGGACTACAGACGCGTGCCACAACGCCTGGCTACTTTTTGGTTGTGGTTGTCACTGTTGCCAGCTCCTGTGTTTGTGGCTGGCACCCAAGCCACTGAGCTATAGGCACCAAGCCTAAATAACATATCTGATGGCACAACGCAAGCAGCAGAGCTGGGATATGAACCTAGGTCTGCACGACTCTAAAACCTAATCCTTTCTCTTTTTTATACCTATGATAACTCTTGGTTACTAATCATCTGGTCTTTATAATATTCTTTTTGATAGAACTAAACACAGGCAAAAAAAAGAACTGCTAATGGTTTGAAGGACCAAAGAAAGCAGCCAGAAACTGCACACTGCTTTGCCAGATAAATAGTAACAAACAGTCACACTCACAAAAGAAAGAAAAACTCTTTCTTTTTTTACAAATGAATATCAGAGAATTTCAAAATCTTGATGGAGCTTCCCCTATCCATGTGCAAAATGACTGAACTTGTCCTACATAAATTCAGGTTACCCATCTCATTGACTGGGAAAGGCCTGGGATCAGTCATGTCTGAGTTTCATCTCTATTCCCCCACAATATTGGGGGGACCAAGCTTTCGGATTTAGCCAGGTGAAATGTTTGAGTTCTAGGCATGGTAGAGGCCACAAGAGTACGGGAAGCCAGAGCCTGTACTACTGAGGCCATCAGAGAAGTCAGTATATCCCTAAGTCCCTCAAGCTGCCTTAACAATGTGGGGAAACTAAGGGACAGATTAGCTAGGATAAAGCAAAGCATATGGTATTGGCATGAATATTGTAATATTCACTATTAATACCCTTGAATAATTTTTCTGCAAATAGCAATTTTTAGGTAAAAGAGCTAAATAAAACTCAAGTATTCAAGTATTTATCATTGATTTAAAGTGAGAGACAATACAAAAATGAGTAAGAGAATGTTGCTACACTCAAAGAATTTAATTTAATGTGAGGCATAAAAAAATATATGAGTTACCACACATAGAGACCTGTTGTTGTAGTGCTTCAAGAGGGGCATAAACATGTGGTAAAGGGTTCAAAGAACAGAAAAATAACTGCTTTAGCTACCATTTATCTATAATGTTCATAGCAACCATGCAAGTTAAGTTTAACCTCAATTTAGGAATGAGAACATAGGATTTAAAACTGATTATATCAATTTGGAAGAACTAAAGAATTAAGATTAGGGATGTTTCACAGACATAGAAGTGAGATATTCAAAGTATAAAAGAGAATTTCAGCTAGGGAATGGGAGCATGAAAGCTTGTAATGTGGTTGGAAAACAAGTTGTTTCACAGATAATATGAAGAAAGCAGGCTAAGAAGGCAAAAGGGGAACACACAGAGGTTGCCCTGAAAGCCAGGTAGAGACCTATCTGTGTGGGTATGAGTTAAGGAGGGCTTCTGAGCCCAGCAGTCGCAAAGCACCTTATCACGTGATATGCAGCAAGGGCAGAGGAGATGAAGGGGGTGGGCGATGGCTGCAACAACAGTGCAGTACAAGGTAAAAATAAAGGCCTGAAACTGGACAGTTACAAACAAGAGAAAGACATATTTGCATATAATCCAAGCCCTTTTTGTCATATATTAAGAAAACATGATTCAGGTTTTTAAAACCTTAGCAATTTTGGATATTCATTTTTAAATTTTGGCAAATATGCTAGCCATAACATAAAATTTAAAAAGAAAAAAGCAGCAGCATAGCGCCTGTGGCTCAAAGGATTAGAGCCCCAGCCCCATATACTGCAGGTGGCGGGTTCAAACCCAGCCCTGGCCAAAAACTGCTTTAAGAAAAAAAAAAGCATGGTTTGCTATTTTGAAATTTTAATTTAAAAAGAGCAGTTATTTCCTTTTGTAATTTGTCAATCAAGTGGCAAAAGTTAATAAAACTTGGATTTTATCTAAAGGATTGGAATTTTTGAAAATTGCAATTTTTTAAATTGAGTCAGTATACTGCAGTGTTGGTTCTAACTAATCCAGCCTGAGATTAAAGGATTAAATCCCAGACCTACCACTTCCTGACTATTTGATGTTAGGCAGTTATTTAAGTTTTCTCTGCCTTGGTTTCCTCACATTTAAAATGGAAACATATTAGCGCCTATCTCACAAAAGCTGTATTTAAAGAGCTTAAACAGAATATGGCACATAAATTAGATATTAAACATTTTTAACTGCATGAGTTTATACTGTATGGAAGCTATGATTATACATTTTTAATGTATGATCATTTTTACAAGTAACTGTTTTACTTTAGTGATCAAAACCCAAGTATAGCAAAAAATAATTTTTTTTTGAGACAGAGTCTCAAGCTGTCACCCTGGTAGAGTGCTGTCACATCATAGCTCACAGCAACCTCAAACTCTTGGGCTCAAGTGATCCTCTTGCCTCAGTTTTTCTATTTTTAGTAGAGACAGGTCTGGCTTTTTTTGTTCAAGTTGGTCTTGAACTTGTGAGCTCAAGCAATCCACCTGCCTTGGTCTCCCAGAGTGCTAGAATTATTGGCGTGAGCTACGGCGCCTGGCCCAAATATAGCAAAATTAACTAAAGGCTAGAAATCAATAACAAATATTATCTTCAAATGTGGAAAAGAAAGTTCAAAGGGTAAAAGCATATCATTTCAATCTGAACTTCCTATTCCTTTTCTGTGATATATTCATCTTGCTATCTATCAGAACTTGATTTGCACAAATATCTACATCTTTAACTAGACATAAAAAACAGACTCCTGGATAAGTTACCAGTATATCTAGACTTCAAATTCTAAAGGTCATTAAGTTACAAAGATTCGTAGGTCCTTATAATTTCAAAGCAAAACAAAATCCCAGTACATCTACGTCTTTATCAATCCCTTGTATTCTGTTAATATACCAATTCCCTTTGGGTGGCACCTGTGGCTCAGTGGGTAGGGCTCCAGCCCCATATACTGGAGGTGGCGGGTTCAAACCCGATCCCAGCCAAACTGCAACAAAAAAATAGCCGAGCATTGTGGTGGGTGCCCACCTGTAGTCCCAGCTACTTGGGAGGCTGAGGCAAGAGAATCGCCTAAGCCCAGGAGTTGGAGGTTGCTGTGAGCTGTGATTCCACAGCACTCTACTAAGGGCAATATAAGGTAAGACTCTGTCTCTAAAAAGAAAAAAAATAAATAAAATAAATAACAATTCCCTTTTTACTAAGATTTATAGCTTTTACTAATGAAAACACAACTTTGAAGACATAAAGAAACAGGTACAAATCACACAAGATAAAAAAGCTTTAAGTCTTACCACGTGGCCAAGATGAGCCTTGAGGTTGAACAAAAGACTTCCCCTTATGGTTACAACTTGGTTTGGATATATATCTGACTTTTCTACATTGACTTAATGGACAGTGGTGACCATGTTGATTTTCTCTAAAATAGAAATTATATAATTATTATATCCCTAGAACAGTGTTTTTCAGCCTTTTTATCTCACAGCGCACTTGAACCTATAGTTAAACTTCTGTGGCAAACTTATGTTGAACAAAAAGAAGCAAAAAATATATATCTACATATATTTATTGTGCTTTGAACTTCTTTATATATATTCTAATAAATTTATAAAAATTTATTATTTTTATAAATGCTCTAAGATCCTCTGATATGTTTTCAACACCATTGGACAATTACTGCCCTAGAATCTCATATCAGTGATAATTAATATCACTTAAATTCCAACACATTATTCTTAGTAAAGCATCACAAGAATGGAGAAGAATCCTATGTACCCCATTCTGATATGAGGACAATTAATGACCTAGTAAGGGGGGAGGATGGGGGAAGGGGAGAGCAGAGAGAGGGAAGGAGGGAGGGAGGTGGGGGAAGGGAAGAGCAGAGAGAAGGAAGGAGGGAGGGGGTTGGGGGGTCATGGTGTGTGACACACCTTTTGGGGGCAGGACACAATTATAAGATGGACTTTACCTAACAAATGCAATCTATGTAACCTGGTTCTTTATACCCTCAATGAATCCCCAACAATAAATATAAAAAAAATTTAAAAATTTATAAAAGCTTAAATTTCAGCCTTAGCAAGAGCAAGACCCCATCTGTACTAAAAAGAGAAGCTAGCCGGTCATGGTGACAGGTGCCTATAGTCCTAGCTACTCAGAAGGCTGAGGCAAGAGTATCACTTGAGCCCAAGAGTTTGAGGTTACTATGAGATATGACACCACAGGACTCTACCCAGGGTGACATAGTCAGGCTCTGTCTCAAAAATAAATAAATAAATACACAAAATAAAAAAGAAAAGCTCAAATTAAGTTGAACTCAGGTCAGCTGTGCCCATCTGTAGCCCCAGCTAATGAGGAGGCTGAGTTGGGAGGATCACCTGATTCTCAAGAGTTAGAGGCTATAGTGTGCTATGACTGTACATGAGAATAGCCACTGCATACCAGCCTGGGCAACATAAGGAGATCCTGTCTCTTAAACAAACAGATAAACCAAAAAAAGCCCATGCACAATGAGATACCACCTTACCCCAATTAGAATGATCATTATTAAAAAATCAGAAAACAGGCTCGGCACCGGTGGCTCAAGTGGCTAAGGCGCCAGCCACATACACCTAAGGTAGCAGGTTCAAATCCAGCCTGGGCTGCCAAACAATGATGGCTGCAACCAAAAAATAGCCGGGCGTTGTGGCAGGCGCCTGTGGTCTCACTACTTGGGAGGCTAAGACAGGAGACTCGCTTGAGCCCAGGAGTTGAAGGTTGCTGTGAGCTGTGATGCCATAGCACTCTACCCAGGGGGACAGCTTAAGGCTCTGTCTCAAAAAAAAAAAGAAAAAAAAATCAGAAAACAATAGATGTTGGTATGGATGAGGTAAAAAAAAAAAAAGGAATGCTTACACATTGTTGATGGAGGAGTAAATAAGTACAACTTCTATTGAAAACAGTATGGAGATCCCTCAAAGACTAAAAGTAGATCCATCATTCAATCCAGCAACCCCACTACTTGGCATCTACACTAAGGAAATGAAGTCATTTAACAAAAAAGATACATCTGATTGTTGACTGTGGCACAATTCAAAATAGCAAAGATATGGAATCAACCACTCTTGCCCATGAGTGGAAGAGTGGATAATATACAGACCACGGAGTACTCCTCAGCCATAAAAAGGGAAGAAATAATGTCTTTTGCAGCAACCTGAATGGAACTGGAGATCATTATCCTAAGTAAAGTATCTCAGGGATGGAAAAACAAATACCACATTTTCCCACTTATAAGTGGGAGCTAAATGATAAGTACACATAGTGAGAAACTGGTTAATGGGGCGGCGCCTGTGGCTCAGGGAGTAGGGCACCAGCCCCCATATACTGAGGGTGGCCGGTTCAAACCCAGCCCCGGCCACACTGCAACAAAAAAATAGCTGGGCGTTGTGGTGGGCACCTATAGTCCCAGCTACTCAGGAGGCTGAGGCAAGGGAATCACCTAAGCCCAAGAGCTGGAGGTTGCTGTGAGATGTGACGCCACAGCACTCTACCAAGGGCGATAAAGTGAGACTCTGTCTTTAAAAAAAAAAAAATTTACAATGGGTACAATGTACACTATTTTCTGGATGGGTACACTAAAAGCCCCAACTCCAACATGATATAATTCATCCATGTAACAAAAATACTTGTATCCCCTTAATGTACTGAAATTTTTAAAAAGCCCAAATTTATATGTTCACTTAACACTGCTTATTCTATACCTCTGTAATACACTTAATGTATGATGACCCTCAATAAGTTATCTATCTCATACATCAAACCTCTTTTCCACAGAAATTATTTGTGATTATCCCTCTATCCATCTTGAATTTCTATATATTTTTCAGTCATTTATGTATTTAACTCCCATTTTGTTCTAGAAAATACTCAAAGGGAATTACTGTTAAATAAACAACAAACTACACATACAAGTGATTACTTCTGGGTTTGTATTGGTATTACTTCCTCTCTTAAATTATGTGATTTTATTTATTAATTCTAATCATTTAGTCAAAGGTGGTAATTTTTTTTTATTTTTTGAGACAGAATCTCACTCTGTCACACTGAGTAAAGTGCCGTGGCATCCTATCTCACAGAAATGTCAAACTCCTGGTTTTGAGTGATCGATCCTCTTGCCTTAGCCTCCCAGAGTAGCTGGGACTATAGGTGCCACTAGTTTTTCTTTTGGAACCCTGGCCGGGTTCCAACCCACCAGCCCTGGTGTATATGGCCAGCACCCTAAACATGGAGCTACGGACACCAAGCCTGGTTTTTCTATTTTTAGTAGAAATTGGGTCTTGTTCTTGTTCAGGCTAGTCTTAAACTCCTGAGCTCAGGTATTCCACCTACCTCAGCTTCCCCAGTAAAGGTGGTAATTTTTTACAACACAGGACTGCCAACTCATGTTTACCTTATGGATTACCACTTTGCATATTTGTTTGCAATATATAAGAAATTTTATACTTGGGTACTTTTCTTTAACATTCTATGTTTTGTTTTGTTTTTTTTTT